GTATTTTGTCCCATCTAGGTCTAGGTTTTTATCAGGATATATTTTTGGCAAGGCTCCACGTTCAACGTATTTATCACATAATTCTTCTATTCGTACATGTAACTCTCCTAAGTTTGTCCGTTGATCTGGGTCATGATGCCAAGCTTGAAAGATAACATATAAAGGAAATTTGAATACATTAGACAAATTACGTATTCAGGCATAAAAAATAAATTAATTAATAAATATACTATATATATATATATATATATATATATGTATGTACCGGATTTAATAATTTCTGCCAATTTTTGTTGAATTTCTTTCTCTTTTTGATTTGCTTTACCAAAAACAAGTCTCTCCCTGCCACCACTTTGTACGTGTTTTTTTATTTCCTCAAGTTGAATCTGATTGAATCTAGCATACGGATATTTTTCAAACGCGAGTTCCCATAGCGTCATTCCAAAACTTTATAAAATTTTAAAACAAATAAATACACTTATTTTAAATAATTATAATTCATTGTTAATAAAGTTTTAAACATGATTACTAGACTACCTGAAAATTTCGCATCTTACATCGTAACGTTTTCCACCATCCATTTTTTCCGGAGCCATCCATCGCAAAACTTTTAAGTCTGGAATTTCCTTGGATATATCGTTAACCTCACGTGCCATATCGAAATTTGCAATCTTGGGTTCATAACGTTCGGTTAACTATTTGATTAATTAGAGTGATAAATATTCTGTTTTAAATGTTAAATTGTTAATTATAAATTTCTTACGAATTTCTTACAAATTTCTTACCATAATATTTTCACATCGAATGTCATGGTGAAACACTTGCACTGAATTTAAAAATGCGATACCACGACATATATCTCGAGCTAGAATTACTTTTGTTTCCCATCCAATATCATGACGGTCATAAAAATCTTTCAAAGATCCTAATTCCGCCCATTCCAAAACTTGAAGATCTTTTCCTTCATCTTTAGCTAATCCATAAAACTTGAGAATGTATGGGCATGTTCCTAATTTTCCTATCATTGCTAAATACGTTTGAACAGTTGCTTTGTCGTTAAGATTTATAGATTTACATTCAACTTCAATGACTCGTTTATACATTCTCTTGTATCTTTTCGCATTATAACCCGTTAAGGACGTGCGACAATATTGTAATTGTTCACTGCCTATTTGTTCTGGTTTATAAACTTTATAAACTGATTTATCGCCTGAATGGTCATGATGATGATTATCAAGCTTTTCTTCAAGTTGTAACCTCATTACTTGAACTTCTTGGGCAACTGCTTCAACCTTTTCAATGACAGCTTCTCTAGTATAAATAAGAAGCTATTTATATATATCATAGTAAATATTAGATTATAAATATTAGTAATATTTCTTATTTATTAATATTTATACAAATATATTTTTTTTTATATAATAACCTTTTTTATTTCGTCATGGTCTTCTTCCAAACTTTCAAAATCTTTTTTTCTCTGTTCTTCATTGTCAATCATCATGCTGAAGTTCAAATCTCTCATTGTTGCATCAAATTCTCCTGTTAAAGCGATAAATTTTTCTTTTATCATACTTGCTTCAAACGTTTTTCTAAAATTTCCCATTTTTGCCAAATCTTCCTCGAATGCCTTAATCTTTATCAAGATATTCGTAAATCTTTGAAAAGTATTGTAAAAATTTTGATCATTAAATTTTTTTTCGTTAATTTTTTTTGTTCGTTTTAATTTTTCAATCGCTCCATTGGCATCAATCACACGTTCCATTAACCTGGCACATGTATTTTTGTTATATTGAGCCGCATCATGAAGATCAATAATTTCTTTGATTAATTTCGTTGCGGCATCGAATAATGGTATATACGGAGCTACGGCGTCAATAAATTTTCCAGTCATATAGGCTGCACCTTTACCATATTCATTATTAAAATCTTTTGCTGTATCAGTAAACGATTTTGTTGCAGTTTTGCTCATTTTATTGTAAGAATATGTATGAATTAACGTTTTTAAACTTTCTCACCAAACATTTCTTTTATAAGTCATTTACCCAGCATTTCTTGTAACAATCAAAACTTTATTTAGATCGTGTGTATGTTTGTCAAATGTATCACTGCAGATAAAACAGACCATAATAATAAATTTGAATACGGTTATATGTAAATAGTCCATTATATCCTCAACTGGTTTGAGGCTGAAGATTGCACCAAAATTAGTTACCTTCTTGTGCTAACAAGAAAAAAAAAAGATTAGAATTTATGCATGAATCTTTTTTACATTGTAATTAAGAAATATAAATGATGATTTTCTGAATTTAGTGTTATCGTTAGACAAATTAGATTTTACTATCGGTATTAACGTTGACTTTTGATGCTAGCTTGAAGTGGTTTAATCTTGAAATCATTATATAATTTTATTGGGTGTACGTGCGCACCTATCAACTCGTCAAATCGCCTAGTAGGCAGTAAAAAATAAAAAATAAAAAAAAACCCGTGTAACATACCAATCCGAAACACGCAGAATGAGGTAATATTGATGTTAGAATAATTATTCAAGCATTTCAACGGACTTTATATTTTAATCGTCCGAAATATAGTGATACGTAATGAGTAACATTTACGTTCTAGACGGAGTGAATCTACGGGCAAGCAATGCCGGCATAGAAATCCGTGAATTGACAAATTGACGATTTTAGTGATCACTGGAATTGTTTAACCGCACCCAAATTGTCCGTAGTTCCGGCCTGAATTACGTTTGTCACTCACCAAATTTATTTTAATGCCACCTAGATTAAACCGTTAACACACACACTTGAATGATTAGAAACATTTTAGACGTAAGTGATCTGTTATAAAAATTTCGAACCATTGGGATTAGGGATTGGCTATTAGATTAATATTTTTATGCTAAAAGAACTTTATAATAGTACGCAAAATACAGTTTCATAAGCAAAATTTTACTTACAAGCGTTTTTTTTTTTT